CCATTTTCTGTGAAGGGGTATGGGTCTTGCCTTACTTGAGCTCTAATCCAGAACAATAATGTAAGGCCAGAGACCATGTGGGTCAGCTTTAATGAACTCAACTCTTCAGGACTGAGGACTAGGCCCACAGGCCCTGAGAACAGGAAGACACTTTGAAATCTGAGGACCCGGTCAAGGCTAGTACTTGGCCTCAGAAATACTGATAATAATAATACTGGCGTCTGTCATAATCATCCTGGCTACTTTTTAACTTTTTAAAATATATTTGTATTGATTTCAGAGAGGGAAGGAGAGGGAGAGAGAGATAGAAACATCAATGATGAGAGAATCATAGATCCGCTGCCTCCTGCACACCCCCTACTGGGGATGGAGCCCGCAACCAGGCCATGTACCCTGACCGGGAATTGAACAGTGACCTCCTGGTTCATAGGTCAACGCTCAACCACTGAGTCACGCTGGCAGGGCAGTAGCATTGTTTTAAACAAACAAGTTAAGGGCAAGATTCCTGTCAAGAGAATTAATGTATGTATTGAGCATATAAGCACTCTAAGAGCTGAGATAGCTTCCCAGTAAAAGAAGGAAGCCAAAGAGAAAGCTACTGGGTTCAGCTGAAGTGCCAGCCTGCTCCGCCCAGAGAAGCTCACTTTGTGAGAACCAATGGGAAGGGGCCTGAGCTGCTGGAACCCTTCCCTGTGAACCCATGGCATGGTGAGTGTAAAGAAAACAAAAGACCTCTGTGCTGTTAAAAATGTTTCTCTCAATTGAGTAGAAGTGTAGTGTCCCCTCCCCCAAATAATATGTAGAGAAAATTTTGTGTCCTTGAAAACAAACAAACAGGTTGGCTACTTTAAATACCTTATATAAGTGGAATCATACAGTATTTGTCGTTTTGTGATTGGCTTATTTCACTTAGTATAATGTCCTCAAGGTTCATCCATGTTCTAGCATATGACAGGATTTCCTTCTTTATTAAGGCTGAATAATATTCTATCATACACACACACACATATATATATCACACAGTTTGTTTATCTATCCATGGACACTTGGGTTGCTTCACCTCTTGGCTTTTGTGAGCAATGCTGCTATGAGCGTGAGCGTGCAAATATCTTTTTGAGACCCTGTCCGCAATTCTATTGGATATATACCAGAAGTGGGATTGCTGGATCATATGGTAGTTCTAATTTCATTTTTATTTTTAATATATTTTTATTGTTGATAGTATTAGAGACTTCTCCCATTTTCCCCCCTTTCTCCCCTCCTCCCAGCCCCTGCCTCCCCTCCCCAGGTCTTCACTACCCATTGCCCGTGTCCATGGGCTATGCATATAAGTATATAAATTCGTTGGTTTCTCTCCTCTCATCCCCCCAACCCCAATTAGTTCTATTTTTTAAATTTTAAAGGAAGCTCAATACTGTTTTCCATAGCAGATGCACTATTTTATATTCCTAGCAACCGTGTACAAGGGTTTCAGTTTCTCCACACCCTCATCAACACTTGTATTTTCTGTTTTTGTTTGTTTGTTTGCTTGACAGTGGCCATCATAATGGGTGTGAAGTGATATCTCATTGTAGTTTCGATTTAAGAGGACCAGCTTTTCAGAAAGTACCATGTCAACAAATGTTGAGAAAGCAGACAGAACACTTGGCATTATGCCTGGGAGACAGCACATGTTCGATGAATGGTGGTTATCAATAAAGTCATTGTCCTGGCCCAGGCACTGTACCTAAGGCTTGGGACTCGGACAAGAAGATCTGCAGCCCTTGTTCTGGAAGCCAGGACAGATGGACATGGAGAGTATACTGGGTCTCTAAAACCCACAAGAGAAATCCCAACTTCTTAAAGATGAAGAGAAAGTAATTCCATTAAAAACAATATTGATTACATTCAAAACCAATATACTGAAGAGTGACATGTGAGCTGTTATTAAGCCAATCCAAGAAAAAAAAGACGTCTTTTAATATACATGCCTGCAAATTAAAACAGCAAAATTAAATTTTGACAGGCAAGATTCATCTTGAAAGTACTGTATATGGCAGAGTGGAGGTTATAATGCCTGCAGCCAAAATAACAGTTAGCAAATTGATTCATTTTGTTGAGGTTTAAATTGCTACCGTCAATGTACCAGGCGCCTGGCAGAGAGGGAGTCTCCTGAACTGTGAATTCCTTGCCGACTCTGAGAGGCCCCACTTTGCAGGGGGGGTAACTGAGCCCATAGGGTCTGTTCACCCGGCCAGACCCCTGCTTTCCAGTCAGCCTGCAGTCTGCTCCCCTGGGCCCCACTGTCCAGGTAGATGAGGGACCAGTTGTCCAGGGGGAGCAAAGTAAGAGTGAGGATGGTGCTCTGGAAGGACTTGGGGTCAGATTAGTGGAACAGTGTGCCTGGGCACCAGAGGAGAGGATAGGCTCACAGGGGCCTGTTTCCAGGGTCTATGCTAGGGTTCCGGTCACTTCCGGGGGCTGGTTAGGAAGCTGTGGGCAGATGTGAGGGAGGTTGAATAGCGGGGGTGGGGATCTGTGCCCAGAGCCAGAGCTAACCCTGAAAGCAGGAGATCCCTCAATTGCTAGTGACTTGGGACAGTCCCAACCGCTTTCTGGAGAATGAAGACATTGATCCTGGTGGATGGCAGGAGACTTACCAGAAACTGACCGAAGTCTGCAGACTCCTCCTCTCCCATCCCATGAATAGGTCACAGCACATTCAGGAGCCCAGGCCTGTGTCCCTCTTCCTTTGGAGTCCCCACACAAGGACGAGCAGCGGTGGCTGGCTGCCTCACGGGGCCTGCCAGCTCTGGAAGACCTTGAAGATCTGGAAGACACTTTGATTGAAGGAGTGGGCCTTGAGCTGCGTGAGCACGAAGGCCAGCACAGCCATGACCGGGATGGTCTGAAGGCATAGGGGTGCCTGAGAGTAACAGGCTCCTGCCCAGGCCCCTAGCCCACAAACACAGCCTTCCCAATGTCAACCCCCACCCGTCCCTTTTTGTCCTCAGCCCTCCGAGTAGTGGATCCGACTACACATACACACACAGGCCCCAATCTCACCTACACAGATTGTTCCCGGAGTCAGGAAAGTTCTGGAGAACCAGAGCAATGATCTTGAGCACATCTTCCACCACGTAGATGCCAAAGAAAATGGGAATCCAAGGCCATGAAGAATCACTCTGCAGCCCTAGTGGGTTTGACTCAGTGGATAGAGCATCCGGCCTGTGGACTGAAGGGTCCTGGTTTCGATTCTGGTCAAGGGCACATGCCTGGGTTGCAGGCTCCCTGCCCCAGGGCCACGTGTGGGAAGCAACCAATCGATGTGTCTCTCTTACATGATGTTTCTCTCTCTGTCTCTCCCTCTCCCTCTCCCTTCCACTCTCTCTAAAAACCAATGAAAAAATATCCTCGAGTAAGGATTAAAAAAAAAAAAAACCACTCTGCAGGGACAACAGGGGCTCGTTCAGGGTCATCCCCAGCAACCTTGGGCCCTCTCTCCTCTTCCCCTCTGGAACCACCAGGCTTTCCCTAAATGGCTCATGTCTTCATTGCTCTGTGGCTCAGTTTACGTGTCTGTAAAATGGTGATAATAGTCTGCCTGATAAAGTTTTCATGAGCATTAAATGCATTGAACATAATAAAGTGTTTAGAATAAAAATAAGTAAATAAATAAACAAATCATTATCATTAAAGTTAATAATTACCTGGCTCTAAGTAAAATATCTTTATTTGGAAAAACACCATCTATATATATAAAAGGCTAAGTGATCGACCATCCATCCATCTGACCGTCCGACCGGTACATATGACGCACACTGGCAATTTAAAAATAAACGTTGAATTGCGCATGCATGATACATATAAAGCTCTCACTGGCGCCAATCGCACATGTGTGTTTCGATTGAAATTTTCCATCGAATTTCTTAGTATTACTCCTTCAGGAATGCCGTGTCATAAATTAAAATTGAAAGTAGGTGCAATCATCATGCTACTGAGAAAACTTAATAGTAAATGGGGTCTTTGTAATGGTACTAGATTTATTATCAAAAGATTGCGACCTAACATTATCGAAGCTGAAATATTAACAGGATCTGCGGAAGGAGAGGTTGTTCTGATTCCAAGAACTGATTTGTCCCCGTCTGACACTGGCCTCCCATTTAAATTAATTTGAAGACAGTTTCCCATGATGCCAGCATTTGTGATGACTATTAATAAATCACAAAGACAAACTCTAGACAGAGTAGGACTATTCCTACCTGAACCTGTTTTCAGACATGGTCAGTTATATGTTGCTTTCTCTTGAGTTTGAAGAGCGTGTGACGTTAAAATTAAAGTTGTAAATACTTCATCACAAGGGAAATTAGTCAAGCACTCTGAAAGTGTTCTTACTCTTAATGTGGTATACAGGGAGCTATTAGAATAAGCTTAATCAATTTATCAGTCATGGTTTCTATCAATGTTTTTATATCATGTTTTTGTTGTTTTTATATCATGTCTTTGTTGTTGTCATATCATGTTGTTATTGTTTATTAATTGATTTATATATTATTTTCATATACATTTTACTAATTTTCTTTCATCTCTGACACTTCTATTATAGAGAAAGAGCAAATAGTGATATTAAAATATTTCTTCTAATTAATTTCCTTTCAATGTGCACAAATCCATGCACCAGGCCACTAGTATAAGATAATAGCAAGTGGCAAAACAGTATGTACTGTAAGATCATATTTTTAAAGCTAATAATAAATATGCAAATAGTTCATTTGCTACATTCAACATGTCAGTTGCTTTTGCAGTTTTTAAATGTTAAGCAGGTATTACTTTTTCAATTAGAAAACAACAGTAAAGATACTAAAAATAGCAAAATAAATTCCCAGAAATGAGACAGACTGTTTTTATGCAAAACACTTATGGAAATTTTTTCACAGATTACAAAAAGACAAATCTCTAGCATGACTGGTGAAGAAAAAAATAAATGAAAGAAAATTCATAATAAAAAGTAAGTATTATTAAGTTACTGTAGAAATTTAAAAATAAGAAGATAATACTGGGGTCCAGAAATTGTTAAGGTGGCTACATTGAGACACAGTACTGCTTCTATCACAGTAATTTACTGCAGTGGTGACAATGAGACCTGTAACATTAAAAAAATGAAGATAATACTGTTAGTAAAATTTGTGCCAATAAATTAAAGAAATATAAAATTGATTATATACACACACACACACACACACACACACACACACACACAAAGTTGATTCAAGAAAAAATAGGAAACTTGAGCAGACTACTAACAATAAATAGTAATTCAATTGTTAATAAAATATATCTTCCCCCACCAAAGTCCCAGGTTAAGGTAGTTTTACAGGTGACTTTTATGAAATTCCCAAAGTTAATTTTATGCAAGCTGTATGAGAAAACAGAGTAACCTAATTTTTTAATGCAGTATAAGAAAAATTATAGGTTAATCTTCCGTAAATGTGGATTCAAAGATCCTAAAGAAAGTAATAACAACTTAACTGTAGCCCTGCATAGAAAAGTAACATATTATGACTAGGTAGGGTTTATGCCAGGAGTGCAAGGGCTATCCAGAATCAGAAAGTCTTATCAACAGTGTTTACCACATTAACAGTGAATTAGAAGAAGTGTATGTTCATGTTAGTGGACAGAAAAGGCATATGATAAAATTCAGCACTGATTCAGAATTGAAACTTACAACAATCTGAGAATATAAGGGAATGGCCTTAACTTGAATAAACCTAGAGCAAACTTCCTATTTAATGGTAAAATTTCAGAAGCATTAACTTTTTCAAAATATCTTTGTATTGATTTCAGAGAGGAAGGGAGAGGGAGAGATAGAAACATCAGTGATGAGAGAGAATCACTGATTGGCTGCCTCCTGCACGCCCCCTACTGGGGATTGAGTCTGCAACCCAGGCATGTGACCTTGACTGGAATCAAACTTGGAACCCTTCAGTCCACAGGCCGACGTTCTATCCACTGAGCCAAACCGGCTAGGGCCAGAAGCATTAACTTTTAAAACAAGACAAATATGCCCATTATAACTATATCTATTCCAAATTATATTAGTGAAAGGGAAAGTAATTAGGAAGCATAGATTGACAAGGGAGACATGATGCTGTTATTTGTAGACAACATGATTTGTCTGGATAGAAAATCTAAGAATTAGTAAGAAAGTTTAGCAGGATTGCTGAACACAAGATCAATATATGAAACAACAGTAATATTCCTGAATTCAATAATCAATTACAAAATGTAATTTGTATAAATATAGCATTTATAATACCAAAAACTCATCAGAAAAAATGTTAAACATTATTAAAAGATGAAAAGAAAACCCATGTTAAATCTCTACTTATGATATTAAAATTATATAACTCCATTTATAAAAACAACAGGTCTGCTAAAAATATCATCTTTAATCTATTATAACATTTTTAAAAGCATCTTTAAGATTAAGATGTGTCTTATGCCAGGCCAACATGGCGCAGTGGTTGAGCATCAACCTATGAACCAGGAGGTCACGGTTCGATTCCAGGTCAAGGCATGTGCCTGGTTGCAGACTTGATCCCCCATCGGGAGCGTGCAGGAGCCAGCCGGTCAATGTTTCTCTCTCATCATTGATGTTTCTATATCTCCTTCTCCTTTCCTCTCTGAAATCAATAAAAAATATATATATTTTAAAAAGATATATCTTACTTCTTGCCCTCCAGTATAGACTGTCGTGTAGCTGTCATTGCCTGAGCATGGGTAAACTTTTGGTCATAACTCTTCACATTCATGATACTTCATTTGAGTTATGTGCATTTTTGGACTACGTGTTGAGTTTAATGGCTGTTTAAAATGTCTTTAAATGGCAATATTATGATATAGCATTAAAATGAAAATTTATTGCGTGTGCCGAAAGCACAGAAACAGAACAGGGGGCATAAATTTGGTATCAAGGAAACAAATCTCTTTTATTAGAACAATGACTGAAATTGCATATTTTCTTGCAAAGAGCAGTAAAGAACCCAAGAAGAGAAGATACTGACAAGTAGGTCAAACTTAATTATGTTTTGGTACCAGGGCTAGGAAGAACATTTCAGAGACAGCAGTGGATGGATGGACTATTACAGTAAATGCTGCATTATCGATGTCCCTGATGGCACAGAGGTTATTATTATGGGGAGAAACACAGATATTAAAGTGTTACAGTAATTCAGAAAAGTCAGACTCTGAATGTCAAAGGTTTTAGGGATATCTCAACCAATTTATTTCACTTATATTTTCCTTTTTATAGACACACAAGAAAAATACATGATAAAAATTTATATCTAAATAAGTCTAAAGGAGCCTTTTCAAAAAGTATAAAATAAAAAGTCTAAGTAATAAAAAGCATTATATCATAGTTTAATGGACAGTAATTTTTCTTTCTTAGTGGCACATAAAATAACGATATGTCTTACAATTTACAGCATCATAGTACAGAAATCTACAAGTGTGATGCAATTCTAAAAAGCAAACAAACATGAATTTTCTTGGAACTTGATAACCCAGTTCAAAATCTCCTGTGAGGGAATAGAGATACAGGATGGAAGGTACCAGCGACAGATCACAGAGGGCTTTGTGGGTCTGGCTAAGAAATTTGGACATATTTCTAAGTGTGGTGAGAACTGATTAATGCTTGTAAAGTGATTTAGTGTTCATTTATGATAAAAGTTACCATAAAAAGAATAAATTGCAAAGGGTAAGATTTCCTTCTTTTTTTATGGTCAAATAGTATTCCATTGTGTAAATGTACTACAGCTTTTTATATATATATATTTTATTGATTTTTTACAGAGAGGAAGGGAGAGAGATAGAGAGTTAGAAACATCGATGAGAGAGAAACATCGACCAGCTGCCTCCTGCACATCTCCCACCGGGAATGTGCCCGCAACCTAGGTACATGCCCTTGACCGGAATCGAACCTGGGACCTTTCAGTCCGCAGGCCGATGCTCTATCCACTGAGCCAAACCGGTTTCGGCACCACAGCTTTTTTATCCACTCATCTGCCAATGCACACTTGGGCTGCTTCCAGATCTTGGCTATTATAAATATCACTGCAGTGAACACAAATGCACATATTCTTTGAAATTAGTGTTTTGAGTTTCTTCAGATAAATTCTCAGAAGTGGAATCACTGAGTCATAAAAAAGAGAAAATTCATGGGGCAGGGGGTAGAATAAATCAGCCTATCTGCAATGTAAAGAAATTTTATAGAATACTCAAAAATCTTCTGAAGGATAAGAAGGTGAATTTTGCTCTATCAAAAATTAAGACTTATTACAAGGCTATGGTAAAATAAACCAGTGTGCTAATAGTTCAGAGATAGATACGTAGATTAATTGAACATAGTATAACATTTAGAAAAAGGCACACACAATTATGGAAATTTGATATATAGCAGATATAGCGTTATAATCAACAGCAAAATGCTAGCCTGATACTGGGCAACTGGGACAAGTGGAAATTTAAAAAAATTGATCCTTAAACAAAAATGAATTCCAGATTAATTGAAAGCTTAAATGTCAGAAGAAAATAGTTTTAACTTTCAACAGAACATGTAGGGTTTCTTCAGCAAGATATAAAAGTAAATATAAGCCATCAAAGAAAACATCAATAAATTTGATCACATTAACATTTTTAAAAATCTATACCAAAAAAAGCTCATAAACAATGAAAAAAAACCCCAACAAGCTAGAAACTAAGAAAAAGCTATTTACAATCTATATAACTGAGGACCAGTATACATATATATAAATAATTCCTATAAACTCAAGGAAAATAAAAATAAAAGGGATAATAGGCTTTTTATAGATGAGGAAAATTAAATGATCAACAACTTTATGAAAGGGCATAAAATGCTTAATATGTAAAATAAAATGAGATATCATGTTCATAACTAAAAAGTTGATGAAAGTTAAATAATCGTATAATACCAAGTAATTTTAAAAGATTTTATTGATTTCAGAGAAGAAGGGAGAGGGAAAGAGAGATAGAAACATCCATGATGAGAGAGAGTCATTGATCGGCTGCCTCCTGCACACCCCACATTGGGGATGAAGCCTGCAACCCAGGGCAGTGATGGCGAACCTTTTGAGCTCAGCGTGCCTCTGGACGTAAGTAGGACACCTGCTGCCGACAGCTGGCCGGGCTCAACCAGGGCGCGACCCCACGGAGGGGCATGAATCGAACTGTGACCTCCTGGTTCATAGGTCAACACTCAACCACTGAGCCACACCAGCCAGGCTATGTAGGTTAATTTTAAAAAGCCTTACATCATCAGCTACCGCTATGAAAGAAGTCATCTTTTACAATGGTAGAAGGTTTAGTTCAATTTTCTGAATTGTTATTAATGACTAGAGGCCCGGTGCATGACATTCGTGCACTTGGGGGGTGGCGCAGCTCTCAGCCCGGCCCGCTCCCTTTCACAGTCTGGGAGCCTTTGGGGGGTGTCTGACTGATGGCTTAGGCCCGCTCACCAGCCATCAGCCTGGCTTGTGGCTGAGCAATGCTCCCCCTGTGAAAGCACACTGACCACGAGGGGCAGCTCCTGCGTTGAGCGTCTGCCTCCTGGTGGTCGGTGTGCGTCATAACAACCGGTTGTTCCACTGTTTGGTTGATTTGCATATTACCCTTTTATTATATAGGATACCTGAGACATCTCTGCTTACATTTTTCAGACTAGTCACCTTGGAGCAGAGGGCATCTCTGTTGTTTGCTTGTTTTTTTAAATGCTCTACTGTTAAATTAAGTCATCTTTTGGTAGGTGAGACTATAAAACAACCTTCATTTTGGATGGGTTTCTATAATTCCTTCCAGCCCCTTGACTCCCAAAATCTTGCAGCTGCTGTCTGGGTTATGGTGATAGCTATGTGTACATTTCTGCATGTATTGGCATAAAGTGTAAAATCAATGTTATATGAATTTTGGCAATGTATTTGAGTTTTAATTTCATTTTTCCTTCAGGTAGAAATGAAATTCTGTATCCTAATAAGCAAAGCGTTACTATTGCCATCTCAGGGGCCAAATATATCATTCTTTTCATTTGTTTACAATCTAAAACTCACAGTGACAAAATGGATCTTGGTGTTTTCTAT